TCCGAACCTGGGTGTACTCGCCAAAGGTGTTTGGCATGATCGCAAGCAACAAGTTTGAACTGACCAAGAGCCACATCCGACTCGAAAAGAAATCCACGTACTCGTACAGCCGCGGTGACTGCTGTGGCTAAGTCGCTCGGACAAATGCCAGGGTCATGGCCGACGGAAGCACCCCATATCGTTGCCGCATCTCGCAGTCCAACGTCGAGCGACGCGATGGCTTCAGAGCAACTCCACAGTCATTTAACATCGATCGTTAGACGTCGTAGCTGCTGTGGATCAAGTGCGGGTACACGCGGATCGTATAAGCGATCGTGACGAGCGCAATCACGGCCATGGGAATAAACGTATCGTTGAGGACATATTGGATGCCGTGCATACCCGCCAGACTGACGGCGCCGTCGCCGAGCGCTCGCCCGAGGGTCCCGGCTTCAGTCGCGAGAAGCCCCGAGTTGAACGTCCCGCGTGCGAACGACTTGGGGATCGTCTTGCTGAGCAGACTCATATTCACGCCCTCCAAAACGTTTGAAAAGACGTAGATCATGACGGCACCAAACACGTATTGAACCACGGTGTACGTGGCAGAGTAGCAAATGATGCCGACGATGCCGACCAAAAGCAGCACTTCAGAGTACAAAATGAGCTCGCCGTCCACGTAGCGATAGCTCAGGTAGCCCACGAGGACGTTGGCAGGAAACATGAGGAGGCCGAGAAAGGCGAGGAAGATGCCGGCCGAGGTCGAAGACCATTCAAAGTACCAGTCCACAATAGTCGTCGCCGACGTGATGAGAATTTCGAGCACCAGCTTGAGCACAACGTAAATGATGAGGGTCGCCACAACGGGCACATTGGACCAGAGAGAGCCGAGGCTGGGGGCTGCGGGTTGCGCCGTAAGGGGTGTCGATTCGTCTGGCGCCACGCCTGCAGCACATCAGCACCGTCGACAAGGATTTAAGTCCTACCGCTTTCGAGCGCTGCCGATTTCGACCGAGCGCTGTTGACCTTGTCCTACGAGTCCAAATGAGCGCCATAGCAACGTTGAGTTGTTCGTACGCGTGCTTCATGGTTTGGCTCTTGGAAAAACGCAAGAGTGGCCACGCAGTACACGGACCAGACGACTACAACCCGTTCCTGTTGAATGGCACATGGCACACAGTATCGTACCAAACATGAGCCAGCCAGGTGACGTCTCCACCGTGATGAGGTAACCAAAGATGCGCCAGTTGTCAGGGATGTAGTTCAAGACAGCGGCCATCGCCGGTCCTGCCGACATCCCGAGGGCCGAGTACGTCACAAACTGAGCCGACGCGCCCGTGCGCTCTTCGCGTGAATAGTTGTCTGCGATGTATCGTCGATTGATGCTGCGGGCACCGCCGAGCCCGTTGAGCACACGGCCAATCAACACCATCGTGATCGAGTTGTACGACAGCGCAATTGCATAGAGGAAATTGCCGAGGACGAGGCAGACGGAGGAAAAGAGCAACGGGTGGCGGAACGACTTGTTGGCCCACCACGAGTACAGCACAGCAGAGAGCATCGAGGCCACAGGCGTCATGCCAACGATGATCCCAGACAGCGCCGCCGTCCCCCTACAGCAACGTTTGAGGCATCCACCGACGACGATGTGGCGGAGGTACCCGAGAAGCGTGGCGTATTCGCCAGATGTCGGTGCCACGATGTAGTAGTTGGTCATATACAAAAATGTCGAGAACATGTTGAGGAAGCGGGATATGTGGCTCGGTTTCTGCAGCTTCAGTGTCTTGAGCATGAGCTCTTCCTCTTCGTCAGACAGGTCCGAGTCGAAGATGAGTGCCTGTGCCGCAATTGTCTTGGCATATCGCGTCGACTGGTGCAATCGCTGGCGGGCAATTGTGATGCGGTTCAAAATGGGCTCGTCTTCACTGATGGATCGCGACAGCGTCGACGGCGGGGTGTCCTGGCTGCTCGTCGACACTTGAACCTACAACACCGCATGAGGATGCAACCTAGACGCGGAATGGATGGAGTACCTGGAGCGTCCGCAATTCATCGAGTGCGGCGCGGATGGACGCGATGATTGCAGAGATTCCTTCGTCGTGATACAGCTGCTGCAGATGACTCACGTTCGACTCAATGCGGGAGTTGATATAGTTGGCCGTGATCTTCTTGGCTTTATGATTCTTGTCGTGCTTTTTGAGGATTTTGCGCAGCCCGGTAGCATTCAGTTCCACATAGTAGAGAAGCTTTACGAGTTCCTCGCCAACTTCGCGGTATCCGTTGGCAAGAGCATGGATCGTGTCGAGTTCCGACTCAGTCGAGGTCGACGACGCGGTGGCGCGTTGCTGCTGGCGAAAGGACGAAAGCCGCGATGCAAACTCGCCTTGTTTTGTAAGGAAGAACAGCACGATCTTTTCAATTTCGCTGTCGAGTTTCTTCTGGAAGCGGGCATGTCCGTCTTTAGGTCCTGTCATCACGACCACGGACGAGGGCGACGCCGAGAACGACGCTTCAGCATCCGAGTGTTGACAGGACGACGTGCTGAGCTTCTTGAGCTCTTTCTTCAATTGGCGGTACTCCAAATAGTGCCTGCAGGAAGATGGTAAGTGGAGCGCTTCATCCAGACAGCTACGTCAACCGCACGCACCCTTCCCATTGAGGATTCACGCTCATGGCGAGTCGCTTCCCGAACTTGACCATCTCGGCCCACGCGCAAATTGCAGAATGTGGCGGCGGCCTCACCTGATATCACGTTAAACTTCCTATGACACGTTTAAACGTTGCGTTTGCCAGGTGAAACGGCCGTCGGCCACCCAAAAAACCCGCATGTGCGACCAAGCGCAGCTGCGATGGCACCGCGCCGACACCCGGGGACGCGCGAGGACATGTGGCGCTTCGAATGTGTACCGCGGGCGATGAGACGGTGAATGGACGTACACACGATACATGCCTCCTGATCGGTGATGAGGAAAAGCTTGGCCACGGTGACGCATCTCGCCGTTTGTTTGCGTCACATCGTTTCGGAAACATGGCTGTGGTCAGCTTGTCGGTGGAGGAAGCCGGAGGAAGGCGCGGTGGCACACGGTACGCGTCCTTGGTACATAAATCACTACGAGATCTCGGTCTGTGGGACCATCCGTCCGACGATGGAGGCAAGAGAGTAGGTACACGTGGGCATATACTGCTCTCGATCGTTCACAGAGTTGGATCCATGTTTAATGTTATCGGGAGAATCGGAGTGCAATAAATGAACGGGACGAATAAATACGAATGGGGCAGCGTACACAACGGTGTACGCGGGGGAATTTGCGGTCAATCGATCGTCGAGGACTACTCACCAGTGCAACCGTGCTCGTTTGAAGCCTGCGTAGTGGACGTGCTCGGGCATGTTGTATACGTTCTTCCTCTTGCCCACGTAAACCTGGACTTCGTCCATGTCGGCTTGATCGACGAAGATCTCCATGTTGAACGAGACCGTGTCTTCAGCGGTGCAAAGAGGCACGGCGTCCGAGGGGAGCATATTGCTGCTGCACCACGCCATCGAGACGCCGCGCCGACCGCTCGTCGCCGCCAAGAACGCTTCCGTGGATGTAGCCCATTCGTATCCGCTCGACATGGTAAATTGTGCAATGGTCGTGGAACACTGGTCGTCCTTGCTATCGAATCCACCAATCCAAGGTCTCAAATACTTGATCCGGATCGCTGATTGGCTCAGCTCTCTGGGACACGTTACACAATTGAATTGTCAACAAGGAGGACGAGGCGCACATGACACCGTTGGAGGACGTCGCGAGGATGACATGGATCTGTTCTTGTGGGATTGTCGCAGCCAAGGCAAAGGAGATGATCGATGGCAGAGTTAAATAAGACATCCCCACTGAATGGGTGCGCCATGGGTGCGCGGTGCAAATTCGGGCCAGCAACCGATCAAGAGTTGGGTGGCGCGCCGCCAGTCGACTTGAAAGGACAGCGGCCTCGACTGTACAGACGCATTGCCAAGTGCCACGCAATCAAGGGCATCCAAAGCAGATTGATCTCCATATCGATGGAATGCGAGAAAGGGTATGTCTGCTGGGGAGAGGTGGTTGTCATTGCGACGTCCATTAGATTCAAATGGCGGCGGCGGCGGCAAGCCTCATCCCATCACGCCACTCCGCCTAGGCTTGAGAGGCGACGGAACGCAATATTGTGCGTTCCTTTGCTCCCATCAGCCGTGGACAAAGGATGCCTGCCAAAGAAAGTGACAAGTTAATGCTTCTTTGGTCTCTGCTTGTCGACCAAATCGCAATGTCTTCGCACGGAGCCAAGACGTATATATTTGGCCCATGACTCGCACACATTGCCGTTCGGGGCCAATATATTTTTAGCCGAACGTCCCCTGCCTCATGTACACCTCCAAATTCCAACAAAGCGTGATCGCAGCGATGGCTCACGGGGCACTGTACAAGTCTGGGCGGAAGCGCGCGCACATGTCGTCTGCGTACATTTCGAAGTGGCTCCGCGTGCTGAGCAACATATCGGCGGGGCTCCTCATCCTTGGCACGGGCCTCCTCGTGTCGCTGTTGCTGTATCAGGGCATGTTTTACAGCCAGAGTATGTCTCCGGTACCTCAAAAGTACTGGAGACCGCTCTTCCAGGCGTGCCGGCTGAACATGCACGGGTTTATCCCTGGCTCGTGCCATCCCGACGACGTCAACTCGACAGGTGAGATCCCGTGGACGTCCATGGGCGCGCAGCTGGCGATAGATTTCGTACGAAATGCGACCGACCCGGACGTGTTTGTCACAACATGTTTGCACGGGGCGTCGAACGAGTCGACGTGGGTGGCCATCGTGCTTCTCGTGGCGGAAGCGACTTTTCCACAATGCAACCCTGTCGGGAAGCAGCTCATTCTTGGCATGGCCGTGCTCGAGACAGTCGCGAACGACGAGTTTCCTTTGGGAGCGTACCTCGTCAGCACGTTCTCGGACGGGACTCCCATCGATCCAGTCCAGATCGATACGACCAACTCGGGGCACTTTACAGTCGACCAGTCCGTCGTCAAGACAATTGTCGCGACGAATGGAACCAGGCTTCACGCGCCATGGGATCAGCGCAACTACGTCACAAGTCTCAATAGCCTGAATCGACTCTTTTTCATGCGCCTCTGGGTCGTACTTCATTTCGTCGACATCTCCAACCAAATCCATACCATGCCTGGCTACAGCGTCGGCAACGCATCCTGCTTTGCCGTCACGATCACGTGGGACAACTCGCACCACGTTGACCACTACCTCTTGTTGCTGGCCTTTCAATCGCTCATTTGCTTTGTTTCGCTCGGGTTGCTCAGCAACGACGGAGTGATCAC